GTTTGCAATAATAAGAACCTTCAGCTTTTCAAACTGAAGGGTTGGATCAGCAGGAAATTGTTCGCCACGGAAGTTCAAGGTGAGAACCAAAGTAGTCAGGTTCGGACACTGCTGTAAAATTTGAAGGGCAGAAGAAATATTGGGAAGGCTGCAATTTGACAGTGAGAGGAAAGAGAGGCCATGGAAACTCTTGAAGCTATCTGGTATTCCGCCAGTGAATTTGTTACGGGAAAGATTGACATTACTCAAATGTCGACAAGAGGGAAGATTGGAGGGAATAGGCCCATCAAACCGATTGGAACTAAGATCAAGCCAGGTCAAACCAGTCATTGCTGAACAATTAAGATCAATTGTGCCCTGCAACGAATTGTTTCTCAAATTAAGCAAGGAGATAGTCGATGAACTCGACAAAGAAGGGGGGTATCTGACCACCAAAACGATTTGAATGAGCTACAAAATTCCGTAATCTTCCAAGGCTGTAGAAAACATCTGGGATGGTTCCTGAAAACCCATTAGTTGAGATATCCAAACGAACAAGGTTAATGAGTTTACCGAATTGTTCGCTGAGCGCCCCTGATAGCAAGTTATCTTGAATGTTCAACTGGGTTAGCTTTCGCAGACGAAATATACCAGTGCCTGTAAGATAATTCGCACTCAGGTCAAGGTCCTCCAAGGAAGTACAATTTCCAAAACCTGGTGGAAGATTGCCAGAGAAGCAGTTAGCGGCCACGTTGAGTACCCGAAGTTGAGTAAAATTGTTGTCACAGATGCTGCCAGGAAGGGAACCATTCAAAAAGTTCTGAGAAATGTCAAGGAACTGGATTGAAGGCAAATCGATATCGACAGGAATGGGGCTCGAAAAGTCATTAAAACTCATGTCTAAGACCTCTAAATTTGGCAAATGGAAGAGCGAAACTGGAAGCGAGTGCTTGAGGAAATTGTGAGAGAGATTGAGGGTTCTGAGCTGGTCCAAGGTCCCTAAAGATGCAGAGAGATTTCCCAGTAGCCTTCTCTTTGGAAGCTCCAGTTTTACCACTCTATAAGTATCAATGGAATAGCTCAATCCGAGAGAGGACGAAGAATTGCAAGTGATGCCTGCCCATTTACAGCAATTAGGTGAAAAATCGTTGCCCCACCCTTCAATCACGGAATCTATACCGTTCATGAAATCCTCCAAAGCTTTGAAATCGTTGGGATTGCATGTCAAGTTCTGAGAGCTCAAGATTTGAGCATGGAAGCAAAAGCCAATAACAATCACCACCCAGAAATCCTGAGCACCCATATCACAGCAACACACGGTCAAGTTCTCAACACACGCACGAGAGTCTAGAGAGAGAGAGAGAGAGAACCAATTAGCAGGACGAAGAACAGCAAATAGTAATAAAAGAGAGTGATAGGGGAATAAAAATACTTGACTTTGATGTCAAACACTTTGAATCTTAAACCTAAACCCAATTTATTAGTGATTTTGTTCTTTTCATAATCACTTCCAAACAAACACTAAAGATATCTTAATAGTTATTGTCTATTTATTTGCCATGTGCAAACCTTGCGCCATGGAAATCGGGGAAGAATTGGATGGTACTCTCCTAGTCATTTTCAAACGGACGTGAAAGATCAACTATATAGTGATTGCCTATTGATTTTTTTTATTCATTTGATCTGACAACTGGAAATAAAAAGGGGTTTTGTGAAAATTGACAAGTGTACAATATCGTCAAGGTAATATAGTGATAAGTAGAGTGTCGTTCTAAGAGCAAGTCCACCGGAGTGGACATTGCCCAGCACACAGTCCAAAAAACAGCCCAGCACCCTGTCCATTACCTCCAGCCCGCGCAACAGCCTGGGGCCCAGCCCATGCTGGTCTCTGGGCCAGCTCAAAATTGACTGACCAAGAAGCTGGGCAAGTGGCCACGTGGCAACTTGCTGGCTCTTGGATTTGAATATTTTTCAAATCCAACGGTCCAGATTAATTAACTATATTAAAATTTATTAAAAATTATTAAAAAAATACAGAAAAATTATAAAAAAATACAGAAAATTTTTAAAAAATGTTATTTTTTTCTCTATAAATAATAAGGTTTGTGGTTGAAGAATAAAGTGTATTTGATGAGTTTATGTAATTTCATTTTAGTGTGTTTTTTTATAGTTTATTTGATGAGTTTATGTAATTTTATTTTAGTGTTTTTTTTTTTTAAGTTTATTTGATGAGTATGTAATTTTATTTTAGTGTGTATTTTTTTTTAAGTTTATTTGAAATTTTATCCGAAATTGATTAAAAATCTTATCCGAAATAAACTTAAAAAAAAAAAAACACACCAAATAAATGTGCTGGGTGCTAGCGCATTTTTTAAGGGGTGGAGATGCCTTGGCCTATTACTGTTCACTCCAGTCTATTACTGTTCACTTGAGTAGATAAATGCGCTGGGTGCTGGCGCAAAGTCCTTAGGGGTGGATTTGCTCTAACAAAGGATCAAATTAACCTAAAGTTACTATTGTGATAACCTTCAAACTAAGATGAAATAAAACAAGACTTAAACTGACAAATTTAAATATGGAAATAGATGAAATGCAAATAAAAATAACAATTGATCAAACATAGAGCAAGAGTGAATGAATTAAGAAAGATTAAAAAAATGGAAACACTAGGACATGAGATTCCTCATTCTCAATCCCATTTAACCACGTTCTTCATATTAACATCAAATTATTCATGGTAATTGTCAATTATGAGAAGCAATCTATTAAACTCAATCAGTTAGTTACAAATTACAATTTGGCCATTCACACAAATAACGGACAATTATCTGATAACAACATAGCACAATAACAATTACTTAACATGAAAAATAATCGAGATTGGTATAAAATAACGAGAATTAGTTGATAATAAGAATACACCCTAAACCAATAAAAAGATTTAGTTCATGATGGAATTAGAATACACTACGTTGAAATTCAAAAGAAATAAAGAAACAACTGAAATTCCATTCTCCACTCCACAGCAAAGCTAGAATTCTCCAATTCTTTCTTCTCTCTCAGCTTCTGTAAGTGCGCAGTGTGATTTTCTAGGTCTCCTTTATTCTTTCTGCTAATATGGAACTTGCACCGAGGGTACTATCATGCATAAGTCCATTCCAATGACCCGACCATTTGAAGCTTTGACCGGTCCATATTCATAATTTGTATCTTATTTATCCAGCCCAAAAAATTACACACGGTCCAACTTGACAATCTTCGGATTTTTCTGTATTTAGGCTTTTAAATATCATTCTAACAGGTGTGTGAGCAGTAAAATGAATATGTAGAGAGCACAACAAGGATAAATGTATTCACCCTTCTAACAAAAAAGAATATTCTGTTACTACTTGAGAGTTGAGACTGTTTCTATGTAGACTATGTTTTGGAAAAAAGTCAAAGTCAAAAATCCAAGGACTACTGCCCTTGTTAAGCATCTCCGTTACTGTTAAGGTAATCAACTAAATTTGGCCGGGTCTTATGCTGCCACTTGGACTCTTGCCGTGTCAATGGAACTACCTTCCTAAATTCTAATTGCTTTCTTCCTAGACTACCTAAACTAACGGCATTCCTAATGAATCCTTTCGTTTACCAAAAATCCTACTGGATCATGGTTCAAGTAGGGATGTCAACCGTTCGGTTTTGAATAGGAGTGCCAATACCTAACCGCCCTGCATTGTGTATAGGGCTCCCTCCGTACGATGCGATATAGTTTTGCGTTGAAGGTTCCTAATACCACATCCACCCTGATTCATGTAGTTATAAGTGAATTTTTTTTTAATGTATCCGGAACGCAGAGTGGTACGTTATATGTTATCATATAAATGGAGAGAATTCATCTTCAAATACCTCCTTATTTGTACAACGACATATGACGTATGTGACATGCCCCAACACACTTAGGCCTGGTTTGGTACTGAGGCGATTTTGAAAAAAGCTGGTATCAAAAAAAGCTGGGAGCTGTTTTTGTGTTCGGTAAACATTCATCTTCAGCTTTTTTTCACAGTTTTGGGTGAAACAAAGCCAAAAACAAGAAGCTGCAAAACCCAGCTTTGAAAAAACCTGTTTTTTTTCACATCTGTTTTACATAAAAGTTTACCAAATATTATAATATATATTTTTTTTTTCAAAAGCACTTTTACAAGAAAATTTACCAAACACTCTACTGTTTTATTTTACAATTGCTTATTCTCACAGCACAGCAGAAGTAGTTTTTTTTTTCAAAACACAACAATACCAAACCAGCCCTTAAAAATGTCACATTATCCGTGAAGATTTCGACCATCCCTAGGTTCTAGGGGTATTATAGGAATTGAAAACCAATTGAAAACCATATAGTACGGTTCAAGTGGGGTCGGTGATATTTTTTAGGTTGGGCCGGCGACCCAATTGGATATGGCCCAAAAGAGTCCAATTGTCTCAACGTGTTTGACCTCTTCTTGTTTTTATAAAATAAATAAATAAAATAAAATGGGATCCCATAAACCTCTGGGCGTTTCCTCCATAAAACCTCCCCGATTTCATCGTTCCCTCTCCAACAAACAAAACTCCCTCTAACCCATTTTTCCATTGCTTTCTTCGCTTCCCTTTTCGTCCACTCTCCTTCTCCCTCCTCCTCTTGTCTGTCTGTCTCTCTCTCTCTCTCCTCCTCCTCCTCTTAGTCTTAGGGTTTCCAGTTTTCCTTTTCCTAAAACAGAAAAATCTAGCATTTCCTTGCGAAAAAAGAAATCAATGGATGTTTCCACCAATGGAATCGGGAACAATGTCGTTGCGGTCAGAATTTGTAGACCCGCCGGAAAGTTAAACGGCGTGCCGGCGAATGGGGTTTTCCCGGGAAGTCCCAGAAAGCCCGAGAAAACAATAAAGCGTTCAAATTTTATCCCCAACGGTATACCGAAACAGAAAGATTACGAGGAGGAAGAGGGAGATGGCTTTTCGGAAAGTGCAATTGCACATGCAAATGGAAATAACCAAAAGCTTACTAGTTACAACTCTTTATACTTTTTTTTTTTTTTTTGAAATACTACTCTTTATACATTAGGTCACGAGCATACAAAAGAAAACATAAAACAGAAGGATGTAACATAAAAAAGAAGGATGTACTCTCCTTAGAAAGTCCAGACATACCTATCTACTCCAATGAAACATGCTATTCCAAATACGAATCCGACACACACTCCAGCAATAACTCCGGTATAATCCTTGCTTGATTTGCCGAACCATGTTCCCAGAGGATCATCCTGTCCGGATGGACAAGGCACAGCATCGTAGCCGCAAAGATTGTTCCCTTCAAAACTTGAACTTGAGAAGGTCGAAAATTGACCTCCTGTAGAGGTCACCCCATACAATTCATTGTCTGCAACACTAAACTTGGACAGGAAGCTAAGCTTAACCAACGAAGGTGGGATTATCCCCGAAAGCACATTATGAGACAAATCCAGGGTCTCCAAGCTCACCATCTCAGATAAACTACTCGGAATCGGTCCTGATAATCTGTTGTTCTTCAAATCCAAAACATGAAGCAACCTCAGCTTCCTGAAGTCCGGCCAGATTGGTCCATTGAGATTGTTGTTGCTAAAGTCCAATGTAGGCCGAAAGCTTGAAACTTGATTGTACTGCAACCCACGTACACTTACATTCCACTTCATGAAAAGAGGGAAATCATAGGAAGGTTCCTCAATGGAGATCCTCCCATTAATGAGGCTCGGGAGTCCAGTTAAGCTTCTCGGGATTTCCCCCGTTAAGGAATTATTAGACACGTCCATGTAGAAAAGACTGCTAAAATTGCCAAACCAGACTGGAATTGTTCCTTCCAAATGGTTCCACGATATATCCAACAACTGCAATCTGCTGCTAGTACTCAACCATTGGGGTATTACACCTGTGAGCCTACAGTTTGCAATAATCAGAATCTTCAGCTTTTCAAACTGAATGGTTGGATCAGCAGGAAATTGTTCGCCACGGAAGTTCAAGGTGAGAACCAAAGTAGTCAGGTTCTGACACTGCTGTAAAATTTGAAGGGAAGAAGAGATATTGGAAAGGCTGCAATTTGACAGCGAGATGTAAGACAGGCTATGGAAACTCTTGAAGCTTTCTGGGATTTCGCCAATGAAGTTGTTACGGGCAAGATTGACTGTATTCAAATGTTGACAGGAGGGAAGATTGGAGGGAATAGGCCCATCAAACCGATTGGAACCGAGATCAAGAGAGGTCAAACTAGTCATTGCTGAACAATTAAGATCAATTGAGCCCTGCAATGAATTGTTTCTCAAATTAAGCAAAGTGATAGTCGATGAACTCGGCAAAGAAGGGGGTATCCGACCACCAAAACGATTTGAATGAGCTACAAAATTCTGTAATCTTCCAAGGCTGTAGAAAACATCTGGGATAGTTCCTGAAAACCCATTAGTTGAGATATCCAAACGAACAAGGTTAATGAGCTTACCGAATTCTTCGCTGAGGGCCCCTGACAGCTTGTTATCTTGAATGTTCAACTGGGTTAGCTTTCGCAGACGAAATATATCATTACCTGTGCCTGTAAGGTCATTCGCGCTCAGGTCAAGGTCCTCCAAGGAAGTACAATTGCCAAAACCTGGTGGAAGATTGCCAGAGAAGCAGTTATCGGCCACGTTGAGTACCCGAAGTTTAGTAGAATTGTTGTCACAGATGCTGCCAGGAAGGGAACCATTCAAAAAGTTCTGAGAAATGTCAAGGAACTGGATTGAAGGCAAATCGATATCGACATGAATGGGGCTAGAAAAGTCATTAAAACTCATGCCTAAAACCTCTAAATTTGGCAAATGGAAGAGCGAAACTGGAAGCGAGTGCTTGAGGAAATTGTGAGAGAGATTGAGGGTTCTGAGCTGGTCCAAGGTCCCTAAAGATGCAGAGAGATTTCCCAGTAGCCTTCTCTTTGGAAGCTCCAGTTTTACCACTCTATAAGTATCAATGGAATAGTTCAATCCGAGAGAGGACGAAGAATTGCAAGTGATGCCTGCCCATTTACAGCAATTAGGTGAAAAATCGCTGCCCCACCCTTCAATCACGGAATCTATACCGTTCATGAAATCCTCCAATGCTTTCAAATCGTTGGGATTGCATGTCAAGTTCTGAGAGCTCAAGATTTGAGCATGGAAGCAAAAGCCAATAACAATAACCACCCAGAAATCCTGAGCACCCATATCACAGCAACACACGGTCAAGTTCTCAACACACGCACGAGAGTCTAGAGAGAGAGAACCGATTAGCAGGACGAAGAACAGCAATAGTAATAAAAGATAGTGATAGGGGAATAAAAATACTTGACTTTGATGTCAAACGCGCATTTTTGACTATCCTCACATTTGGAATTAGTTTCTGGACTATAAATTCATTGTTTGTGGACTTTGCTATTTTATAAAAGAGAAATTATGGATTATCCTTTCAAAAAAATAAAAAAGAGAAATTATGGATTCTCACCAAACGAAATGAATTTGTTTGGATGTGATTGGAAGAATCATAATCGCTTATAGGGAAAGCGTATGGAGAACTCTTTGTATGTGCTTTTCGAAAAATACTTTGAATCTTAAATCAAAACCCAATTTATTAGCGATTTTGTTCTTTTCATAATCATTTCCAAACAACCATTGAAGATATCTTAATAGTTATTGTCTATTTATTTGCCGTGTACAACCCTTGCGCCATGGAAATCGGGGAAGAATTGGATGGTCCTCTCCTAGTCACTTTCAAACGGGCACTAAATATCAACTACATAGTTATTGCTGATTGATTTTTTTTTCTATTCATTCGATCTGACGGTTGGAAATAGAGGGGTGTTATTGTGAAAATTGCCACGTGTACAACATTATCAAAGTAATATAGTGATAAGTAAAATATCGTTATAACAAAGATCAGATTAACCTAAAGTTACTATTGTGATAACCTTCAAACTAAGATGAAATAAAACAAGACTTAAACTGACAAATTTAAATATGCAAAAAGATGAAATGCAAATAAAAATAACAATTGATCAAACATAGAGCAAGAGTGAATGAATAAAGAAAGATTAAAAAATGGAAACAATAGGACATTCCCATCTAACCACGTTCGTCGTATTAATATCAAATTATTCATGGTAATTGTCAATTATGAGAAGCAATCTATTAAACTCAATTTGTCAGTCACAATTTAGTCATTTACACATATAATTGACAGTTATCTGATAACAATAGAGTGCAATAACAATTACTCAACATGAAAAATAATCGAGATTGATATAAAATAACGAGAATTAGTTGATAATAAGAATACACCCTAAACTAATAAAAGGATTAGTTCACGATGGAATTAGAATACACAACGTTGAAATTCAAAAGAAAGAAAGAAACAACTGAAATTCCGTTCTCCACTCCAATGGGCCAACCATTTGAAGCTTTGACCGGTCCATATTATTTGTATCTTATTTATCCAGCCCAAAAAATTACACACAGTCCAACTTGACAATCTTCGGGTTTTTTTGTATTTAGGCGTTCAAATATCATCCTAACAGTTGTGTGAGAAGTAAAAATAAGTACGTAGAGAGCACAATAAGGATAAATGTATTCACCCTTCTAACAAAAAAAAGGATATTCTGTTACTACTTGAGACCATTTCTATGTAGACTATGTTTTGGAAAAAAATCAAAGTCAAAAATCCAAGGGCTACTGCCCTTGTTAAGTATCTCCGTTACCGTTAAGGTAGTCAACTAAATTTGGCCGGGTCTTATGCTGCCACTTGGACTCTTGCCGTGTCAATGGAACTACCTTCCTAAATTCTAATTGCTTTCTTTCTAGACTCGTCACCCGTACCCAAACTTACGGCATTCCTACCGAATCCTTTCATTTACCAAAAATCCTACTGGATCATGGTTCATGTAGGGATGTCAACTGTTCGGTTTTGAATAGGGGTGGTGTCAATACCTAACCGCCCTGCATTGTGTATAGGGCTCCCTCCGTACGATGTGATATAGTTTTTCCTTGAAAGCTCCTAATACCACATCCACCCTGATCCCTATAGTTATAAGTGAAAAGATTTTTTAATGTATCCGGAACGTTGAGTGGTACGTTATATGTTATCATACAAGTAGAAAAAAAACCATCTTCAAATACCTCTCTATTTGTACAACAGCATGTGACATGCCCTAACACACTTAAAAATGTCACATTATCCGTGAAGATTTCGACCATCCCTAGGTTCTAGGGGTATTATAGGAATTGAAAACCAATTGAAAACCATATAGTACGGTTCAAGTGGGGTCGGTGATACTTTTTAGGTTGGGCCGGCGACCCAATTAGATATGGCCCAAAAGAGTCCAATTGTCTCAACGTGTTTGACCTCTTCTTGTTTTTATAAAACAAATAATTAAAATAAAATGGGATCCCATAAACCTCTGGGCGTTTCCTCCATAAAACCTCTCCGATTTCATCGTTCCCTCTCCAACAAACAAAACTCCCTCTAACCCATTTTTCCTTTGCTTTCTTCGCTTCCCTTTTCGTCCACTCTCCTTCTCCCTCCTCCTCTTGTCTGTCTCTGTCTCTCTCTCTCTCTCTCTCTCCTCCTCCTCTTAGTCTTAGGGTTTCCAGTTTTCCTTTTCCTAAAACAGAAAAATCTTGCATTTCCTTGCGAAAAAGGAAATCAATGGATGTTTCCACCAATGGAATCGGGAACAATGTCGTTGAGGTCAGAGTTTGTAGACCCGCCGGAAAGTTAAACGGCGTGCCGGCGAATGGGGTTTTCCCGGGAAGTCCCAGAAAGCCCGAGAAAACAATAAAGCGTTCAAATTCTATCCCCAACGGTATACCGAAACAGAAAGATTACGAGGAGGAAGAGGGAGATGGCTTTTCGGAAGAAGTTGAAATTGCACATGCAAATGGAAATGGTTACCTGAAAGAACGGGACGACGACGTTTCGCCCACCTCGATGACCGAAAAGTCGGACGAGTTTCCAACGGTTTCTCCCGAAAAAGCCGAGTACGTGAAATTAGCCGTTGAGACGCCCGATACAGCAGGGGAAGGGATCCTCCGTCCTCACGCGCACCTGCCGAAGCCAGAGGCGCCGCCCGGGTTGGCCTCATCGCCTCCCGATTCTCCAAACGACGAGGCTTCGAATAACCAGAAATTCGGCGTCGACGTGCCGGCGATAGGGAAGCTCATCCGGGAGCGAAGCAGCAATTTCTCGGCCGCGTTCGTGAGGAGGCTGTCGTCGCTGAAGGACCAGCACCTCAATAGCAACGGAGAAGAAGATCTGAAATCGAAAGACGCGACGGCGACGGAGTTCCATCTCTCCGGCCTCAAAGTGACGGTCAAGCTCAAGAGCGAGTCTGACGACCACCAACAGCCACAGGGACAAGCGACGCTGAAAGGTCGAATCAGCTTCTTCTCCCGGTCGAACTGCAGGGACTGCACGGCCGTGCGGAGGTTTCTGAGAGAGAAGGGGCTGAAATTCGTGGAGATCAACATCGACGTGTATCCGAATCGCGAGAAGGAGCTGGTGGAGAGGACGGGTAGCTCGTCTGTACCTCAGATTTTCTTCAACGAGAAGCAGTTCGGAGGACTGGTGGCGCTCAACTCGCTGAGGAACAGCGGCGGATTTGACCAGCGGTTAAAGGAGATGCTCAGCTCGAAATGTCCCGACGACGCGCCTCCGCCGCCGGTTTACGGATTCGACGATCTGGATGAGGAGGAGTTGACGGACCAGATGATGGGGATAGTTAGGGTGTTGCGGCTGAAGTTGCCGATTCAGGACCGTCTGATGAAGATGAAGATCGTCAAGAACTGCTTCGCCGGGAGCGAGATGGTGGAGGTCCTCATTCAGCACTTGGACTGCGGGCGTCGAAAGGTACGGACCCTCCTCCCTCCAATTTCCAAATCTGTTTTTTTTTTTCCACTGTTATTCTCTGTGTCGCGGACCACCGTAACCACTGGACTCGCAGGTTCTTATCCTGTCGTTAAATTAAATCCCGCGGGACCAGTTGGTTACAATGTGCCGCGCAGCAGTCAAATCTAATTGCTGGCCTGCTGCGTATCGAACCGCTGACTAGCCGCAGTTTACTGATTACGCGCTAATAAAAAATTAGTAACCGTTAAAAGATTCAGCGAGTTCTTCTTGCCGTTGTCCTTTCGGATAAACCCATGGGCTTCGCTTGGCGTCTTTCACACTCAACCATGGCCAACATAATCATGACGACCATGTTGGTGTATGATTATTAAAATACAAAATTACAATAAAAATAATTGATTTAAGTTAATTGTTATTCTATTTGCTTAGGAATAGTATGGGTTACCGATCCAAACCTACTTGATATAATTTAGTGTTTAGTTGTGCCTAGCTTAGCTTTCGCAAACAAATCGTGTTTGAATTGTTTTCGTGTCATATTCGTTGTATCAACACATCATGTCGTGTTAATTATGTTATCTTAGTGGGTTATTATTAGTCAATTCGATAATGACTCAATTCGTTAACAAGTCGTATTGTCATATCTAAAGTCATGATCAGAAAAATGATATTTTAAAAGTGATTCGATAACTACTTTAACTCGTTAACAAGTTCTTAAACGATTCGAGTTATTAAATGATTTGCTCGAAACTTTTTTTTTGTGTTTGTGTTGAATTTAATTGGTCGTGCAAAAAATTACCAAACCTAAACTAGCTACAATTTTCATTGAATTTAGTAAGTTTTAGCCTAATTTGAATGAAAAGCTTGCATCGCATGTTAGATTTCCCGAAAACACTTATGGCGTCCACCATCCGCAGTATTATTGAGTGAGTGCTATTATTATAAGGAGCTTTTCACCAGGTCCACTCTCTTGGGTTAATTTTCTGGCGCTCCTCCTTTGCATTCAATTCGACCCTTGTAAGAAGGAATTTTATTGTTCAGGTGGCCGAAAGACATACTAATGTGAGAGTAAATTTAGGTTGCAGCTTGAATTTTTCCTAGTGAGAAAGTAGTGGAAAATTAGGTCATAAATTTTTGGTGGACCATGTTTTTTATGGAAGTTTTATATACCTTTTGAATGACTGGTTTTGTAACCAACGGCTTGAAATGGAGAACAATTTGTGTGATAGGGGTATACAGTTAAAGTAGCGTTTCGTGTCAATAATATAAGGACACGTGAAGAGAAATTAAGACATATCCTTATATTATTAGCACAAAATGTCACTGCGGCGGTGAACAAGTGTCATATAAATCCTCCTTGAAATGATTACTTATGAAACAAGAAGGGTTGTGTTGGTGCAGCCATCAATATATGTTTGAACTTTGACGGGATCCCATTGCATATCATATCATATCATGCATAACGCACTCAGTCATATATAATTTGGCTCCTTCCCACCCCAGGCCACGACTCATGTCATGATTCGTGAAAGCGTAGACGTAACGTTTTTGACATGGCCCCCAATATCTTATCCTTTTTCCTATTTTGCGTATGTAGGAATTTCAAAAGTTGAATTTGCCAACCTTGTTTCATAATTGATGGGAAGTTGACCGAGTTTTCAACCTCTTGTTTTAATCATGACGTATAATTATTATTTAGTCCCTCCTTAATCATCTTTTGTAGAAAATTATTAGTTTTTAATATTGCTCGGTCTTTGAGTGTTTTCAATCCATACTTTAGATTACACGTGAGGCATTACACAGATGTTTCTTTTATCTTAAAAAGCAAAAAGTTTGTCCGTTGAGTGTGGAGTTTAATGATTTGTGTTTACAACATATGACAACTGCAGGCAGTTGAGATTGGAAGGCAGCTTGCCAGGAAGCATTTCATTCATCATGTATTTGGGTAAGAAAAAAAATCTGTTGAGCCAACTGAAAACTAGAGACACTGATTTAGTTTTGTCGATAAGAACCCTTTTGTATTTGTGCAGGGAAAATGATTTCGAGGATGGAAACCATTTTTATCGTTTCCTTGAGCACGAACCCTTTATTCCCAAATGCTTTAATTTCCGGGGATCCATAAGTGACAGTGAACCCAAGCCTGCAGCGAAAGTTGGCCAAAGGCTCACCAAGATCATGTCTGCCATACTCGAGTCCTATGCCTCAGATGACAGGCGCCATCTCGATTACATTGGCATTAGCAACAGTGAGGAGTTCCGAAGGTAGGATCAGTCGATCATTTTCCTGGATTTATTTTGTTAAACTGAAGTAATTTGGGTATATTTCTACTTGTTTATGTTGAATTTGCTTCACCGACTGTGCACTAAATAGCTTCATTGGTGTCAATTTCCTCCCTTCTTTAAATGCAGGTACATAAACTTGGTTCAAGAACTTCACCGAGTAAACCTTTTTGAGCTCTCAAAAGATGAGAGGCTAGCTTTCTTTTTGAACCTCTACAACGCAATGGTCATCCATGCAGTTATCAGGGTAGGACGTCCACAAGGTGTAATCGAAAGGAGATCGTTCTTTTCCGACTTCCAGTATTTAGTTGGAGGCCATCCTTATTCACTCAGTAGTATCGAGAATGGGATCCTCAGAAACAACCGTAGACCTCCTTATTCCTTGGGCAAGCCCTTTGGGGCAGGAGACAACCGTACAGAGGTGAACAACAATCTTCGATTCTTCTGTCTTATCCGCCTCTAAAGTCTAACTTCATACATGTTATTTTGTTTGCATACAAATTCTCAACCTCTGATGTGAGTACTAAGTTTCATTTCATCCTTCAATCCAGCTTGCCTGTGCTAGAGTGAATCCATTAATTCACTTTGGACTTTGTAACGGGACAAGGTCAAGCCCAACGGTAAGATTCTTCTCACCCCAAGGAGTTGAAGCTGAATTGAGATGTGCAGCTAGAGACTTCTTCAAGAGCGGCGGCATGGAAGTGAACTTGGAGAAGAGGACCGTGTACCTCACCCAAATTATTAAATGGTGTGTAATCATTGATCAAGTCTACCTTTTTCGTTGTTCATTTTCAAAAGCAACTGTGATGGTTAGACAATGCCGAGGATGAACAAATATTGTGCGTGTGTGTTCATTTGTGCAGGTTCGATGGCGACTTTGGACAAGAAAAGGAAATTCTAAAGTGGATCCTGAATTACTTGGATGCAACCAGAGCAGGCCTTTTGACACATCTTTTGGGTGACGGAGGGCATATAAGTATTGTGTACCGGAACTACGATTGGTCCATGAACTCTTGAGTCTCCGAAACCCGTTCGCTGCCGTTGTTTAAGAACTGAAACTTATCACAGGTGATACATTATAGATATAGATACTTGCTTACCTCAATTTTTGTTAAAAGAATTAGAGGATTTGTTGATTTGAATTCGTTGTGAAGAAATGGCAAGAGAGAGAGGGAGGAGAGGGGGGAAGGAATGGAAGCATGTAACGAGATTTCCCTTGTAAATTTCTTCTTCTGTTATGAGTTCAGTTTTTTTGGATGCAATGAAAAGCTAGTTTTAGATAAAACAACAACAAAGCATTATCCCACTAAGTGAGTTTGATTGAATGTATAAATCCAAGAACATTATTGTGCTCGTTTCTACGCCAAGTTTTCTTTTAGCTCTAAGTACTCTATCTTTTCTTAAAGTCTTTTTCCAAGTCTTCCGAGATCTTCATCTGACCCTTTTACCTTAACCATCCATCTTATAATCGTACTTTTCAACCGGATCCAATAGAAAAATTCATGTGTTCTGAATCTCTTTCAAATCGATTCAGAAGGTGTTCATGTTTTTATACATAATTCAAGCAAAGCTTACGCCAATGGTGAATGATTATAAAATAACACCTTGAAACCTAACACGTGACAAATTTAAGCGTGTGTTAATGTCACTCTATAAAAAATAATATTGTGCAACCAGAGACACATATATTTTTATGTTTACATCTCACATCAGATATAACTAGGCCCTTTTTTGGAAAATCTGGGCCTTATTTTCTTTAGTCAAGCCCATTTCAAATATCTTAAATGGCCTACCATAATTCCCTCCAATTTTTCCCGCCAATAACCCTTGAAAATGGAAAATAAATCCAGAAAATTAAATTTAAAAAAATGAAAACAGCAATCGTCGGTTGCAGAAAGCAAAAATCAGAAGAAAATGGACAAGGCACCAGCAGCAACCGGCTGTTACAAGTGCGGCCGACCAGGCCACTGGTCACGTGACTGCCCTTCCTCCGCCCCTACCCCCAATTCCAATTCCAATCCTAATTCCAACCCTAACCCTAACCCCACAAATCTCAATTCCTCTTCTTATCCTTTCAAAAGCGGTACTGGTACTGGGATCGAAGGGAAGGCGAAGAAGGTGTCGGTTCCGAAGACTCGGCCGAAGCTGACGCCGGAGCTGCTTCTCTCAGACGATGGGCTCGGCTACGTCCTCCGCCACTTCCCTCGCGCCTTCAAGTATCGCGGCCGCGGACACGAGGTCTGGTATCTCACTTCCGCTCCTTGTTTCTTTTCCTTTGTGCAAGAAAACTCATAACTTTATGTTAATTTTTTGAGTAAATTAGTAAAAAGTAACTCTATAATTACAAGTTTTAGCTCAATTACAGAAGAAAATCCTTCAGTTATCCAGACGTGTTGCTTTAATTGATTCGTAATTGTGAAATTTCGTTGGTGTGCTTCTTCCATTACAAAGTCGGCATGGGTTTCTTTTCTAAATTATCGGGTTTGAAGCGTTTTTCTCTAAAGTGTGAGGTTACTGAGGGATTGTATGTAAAATGCCATTGTTTTTGTCAATTTTTGCAGGTTAGAGATTTGGGGAATCTAATTGGGATGTACACACAATGGCATTCGCGATTGCTACCATATTACTCGTTTGATCAGTTTGTTCATAAGGTCGAACAAGTTGCCGCCACCAGACGTGTGAAGGTACTGATGACATCTTACTCTTTATTTTCAATGTCTTTGGAGTCTGCCTCAAATTCTAATCCTTTTTCTGCCCAAATATTGAGCAGATGACTCTTAGGGATTTGAGAGAAAGAGTTGCAAGTGGAGGAGACCCGACAAAGTTGCGTGAAACAGCGGTCGAGGAAGGCGTTCCAAATGATCAAGAGGGTACTATGCTCTGCCATTTTTGCCTAATTGCTCTAATTTAGCATGTAATGAGATGTTTCAAGAAGTGAAATATCATTAAAGATTGAGGTATTAATTGGAAGGATTGAATGGTGCAGTTGCTCTAACTATTTAACAGAAGACCTGTCAAGAAGAGTTGGAAACGGGAAGAGGTTGAGTTTATAACACGATTAGGAATATGATGTTAGGATAATGGATTGGCTGCTGAGTGGAATATGAGTAATGTTGAGGGAGAAACAGAATTACACCGGACTACCTGAGACTAGAGGGCAAGAATAGTACTGATAAGTGGAAATCTACTTGTGCTGATTTTATGTTACTTTGTTTTTTTTTTAATAATTAAGTAGGGAGTTCTTATGTTCTCTATAAAATATCCTTATGAGAAGTTTTTGGATTTTGTCTGATATTTGAAGTACCTTTCTATTCATCATGGTATTTGAAATATTTGATTCGGAACAACCATTGCTCTCTATGCTTCCATTTTGAATTCTGATCTTGTTATTTTCCTGCAGAAACCTTGAACCCTGAGGGACCAAGTGATCACCAGGGAGGTTCGTCTTCAGGGAACCATGATGTGGATGATCTGCAGGAAGAGATGCTTCACGAAATCTACGAGAAAGCCACTCAGGTATGTGCTACTCGAAGTTTTCTTGGTTTTCAGATTAAAGCTCCATTTGTTGATAAGTAGAGAGCTTGATGTGCTTTGTTTTGCTAATTGTAGGAACCGTCTGAGACGTTCCATGGTGAGATGGTTGCTCCTAGTGCTGGTATACCTGCATCAGAAAGTTTCCAGAAACAAATAACCAATCAAGTCGAAAACAATGAAGGTAAGGAATCCAGTGAAAATCATATGACAGATGAACAGAAAGGGCGAATGGAAGCTAATAGATTGAAGGCACTTAAGAAAGCCGCAGCCCGCCGCCAATTGCAGGCAGCTTGAGTTTCCGTTTCTTTTCTATCTTGCTCTAATTTCTGTTTCAGGGTGTTTTGTTATGGATGTGGTTATAGGCATCATATTCTTTGTACGACGAAGTTTATAGCAGTTATGAGATTATTTCTAGTTATGCCTAAAAAATGAAAATAGTAATAGCAAAGACGGATTCACTGGATGTCACGTGACATTGAATTAAGATGCACAATTACAGGAAACTCATTTCTTATAAATCTTTTTCATGATATGACTTGATTTTGATTCTCTAACCTTTTGTTTTTATTAGTCTTTTCAAACCAATGTATTATTATAATTGTCCCTAATAAAAGCTGGATGCTAGTCACTGATTGCTTGTTTGAAGGAGATTCTCTCTTTCGGATCCTCCTAGATCTCCGCCAACATAGTCGGGTGTGTCCTCAGGCTAAGACCACCGGCAACCACCGTATTGATCCAGTCCACGCCAACTGGCATGACTTGTTGGGGCCCAAAATCAATCAGAAGAGATCCTTTTCGGATTTTTTCCACCAATGTCATCGGATCAAGTAATTCAGGTTTTTGACCACTTTATCTAATGACCTTGGTGAAAGAGATCCGGTTCTCAAAACCAATTAGCATTGAAATAACGTAATCAGCCCATCTCCAACTGATGGCTGGCCAGAGGGCTTGTTTTAGCCCTTTGGCCTTCTAAGATATTAATATTTTAATGAACAGTACATGATCATATTTGCTTTCGTCTCCAACCGAGGGCCAAAGGGCTAGAGGGCTTGTTTTAACCTTATCACAAAAAACCGTCTCCAACCAAAGGTCATAAGGCCAAACATAATTTATTATTTAAATTTAAAAACTATAACAACTTAAATTTAAAAACTAAAACTAAAATTTAAAAACTACAACTAAAATTTAAAAACTACAACTAAAATTTAAAAACGACAAATTAAATTTAAAAACTACAAATTATATTTGAAAACAATATTAACTTAAATTTAAAATTTTTGCGAGGAATCGTGAATGAATTGTTTAGGTATTGATAGGAAAAAAACATAGAATTTTTGAGAATTTTTGTGAATGAATGGTAACTGGCGTCAACTAGTCGTTGGATTCAAAATTCTTTTTAAGAATAACCGACAGAAATACATTTATATTAAATAATATAAATGTATTCTTGTCGGTTAACCGACATGATTAAGCAGTTTTCTGGCCAGCCCCGGGCTGGCTGCTTGCAGCTAGCCCTTCAACCCTTTCCAAGCAGCCAGCCCTTCAACCCTCTCCGATTTTGTGAGGCCCTTTCAGATTCCACAGCCCTCTGGCCTAGCCCTCGGTTGGAGACGGTTTTAGGGCTATTTTCGGCCCTTTGGCCCTCTAGACCCTTCAGTTGGAAATGGCTTAACGTGATCTCAATTACTTGTTCTAGCTTTCTGCGACGTGCACAATACTAATCTTTGTATGAGTAGTGAGGAAACAAACTTGCCTAGGGATGTTACCATGACCTACTAGACAAACTGAAATGCTGATAAGACTTTCTCCAACTGTGATTTTTTATAGGGGCAGATTGACTGCCCTCCTGTTTGGATGCCATTCTCATCCTCTCTTATTTGTGAGGTCACCTCCTGTTTGGATGCCATTCTCATCCTCTCTTATTTGTGAGGTCACGGTTAAGCCACGTCAACATTTTATATTCTTATTGTTTTTTGTCTTATTATCTTTATAAAAAAATTAATATAAAATGTTGACGTGTCTTACTCGTGACCGCACAAAATAGGAAGGGATGAAAAGGGCACCAAAACAGGAGGGCGGACAATCTGCCTCCTTTTTTATAAACTTTTTGAGAGATCATAATTTAACGTTCTTTTTCTTGCTAATGTTATAATATTATAAAAAAAAAATGAAATGATATAAAGTGTATGAAAAGTCTTATTTTTAAAAGTCTTCTTGACGTTTCTCCTGACGTTTCTCCTGAACAAATAACCGAAGTCATACGGAATATCATGTAACCTTTAGCATGGGTAAGTCCTTCGCAAATTGGCAATGAGGGAGAAAGGTGGCTGGTAGTTCACTAAGTTCAACCCCTCGTGGCCTAGCATGGACCATGAGAAGAAAACTTAAATATAATTTTAATGACGTCACCTATCTAATAAATAGTTATTACATGTTAAAAGAAATAAATCTCTCGTCTGGGAATTACTTATTATATGATTAATTGGCATCAAAACAGTATCTCGAGTGGTTGTGAAACTATATAATATGTAATTACTTATTCCGTGGTGTTAAATAATTAAATGCCTTCTCTTTTGCTTTCAATTCCTTCACCTATTTCCCGAGTTAAAAGACACAGACCATCTGTTGTCCTTGGTCAATAGTCTCCTCTCTCTCTCTCTCTCTCTCTCTCTCTCTCTCTCTGTCTTTTGGGATGGCCTTGGCATTACTATCCCATCAGACTATGCATGCAGAGTACAGAGAGACAAACATGGACATGGATGCTGCATTATTATTTAACATCCAGTCTTTGTTCCTTCATTGAACCGATTACCACTACATGTAGCTGCTGCTGCTGCCGGTGCCGGACTCGATCAGGTACCTTTAATTTCATGCTTAATTAATTTTCTTCTCGTTTATCCTATTTTTGTAATTATTTTTAAAATTTTTTGTCGACCCTTTTTTGTTGATAGATCTGTGCAGAAGGCACGTGTCATTCGTTTTCCAGATTTTGATGTATAACTTTCCTTTTCAAGTTTCAGCATTTATCTGGGTCGACTCAATCAACTCGTTCTGCCCAAGACAAACAAAGCCTTCCACAATTTCAATATTTTTTCATCTGCAGTTTTCGGACGCTTGTTAATTTCAGAGAGGGTGTAGCTACCTGTTGAGAGTCGATGAATTCGACGACTCGGGGGGGGTGAGTAAATTTTGGATCCCATTCCCTTTGAGGTTTCACCACTCTCTGGTAAAAAAGTTTGAGCCTTTGAGCCGCCCAATGCTTTTTATTTTATTTAATTGAATTTTATCGGGTTCAATAATGTTTGCAGATTAACAATATTCAAATCATGGAGAGGAGGACAGAGTTCTGAGCTTTCTTCACGTGAAGCTTACGCTGCAAAAAAATAACAATTACAGAGAAACGATGTCGAATTGCCAAGCCCCACTGTTTTGGTGTCTCCCCATTGATCAGTACGCAGAGCTCGCCAATGGGGCTTTTTGCACCTTAAATGCTCCTCCTCCGCAGCTCGGAGTAGAGTAGTTTAGAAGTGCTTTTCTCAGAAGCAGAAGTAGAAAACCATTTCTTTGGGTTCAAGCTGTCGAATCAATCAATGGTGCAGTTGCAGCAGCCGCAGCACAGTGATCGATTGAGTCAAAGAAAGCAGCTTCTGCTAATAATGCTATTGCTACATACATAGTAACATAGCTCACTCAAATTTGACGAGATGGTGTTAGATCTTGAAGATTTGGAAAGCGATAGGGCAGAGACTGAGAAAGGAAAGTGAACTCAAATAGTTCAAAATCTTTTCGTTTTTGAGATTCAAAAAAGTTCCATATACATACACACATTTCAGATTCTGATTTCCGAGTTGTGTTTTCTCAATCAGCAAAATCCAAGTTCAAATATTGCATTTTCAAGATGTTGGCGGTCTGAAAAATCGATCCAATCCGCAGATTTTCAAAAATGGTTTCTCAAAAAGGTGAAATCTTTTTCTTATTGCTGCCATTGCTGTTCTTGGTTTTTCTGGGTTCGGCAAAAGCAGGGGATGCGGATGCTCTGTTGACTCTGAAATCTACAATCGACCCTCAAAACACGCTGCCGTGGCGGCAGGGAAGCAACGTGTGCGAGTGGGAAGGCGTGAAGGAATGCCTGAGAGGGAGAGTTACGAAGCTTGTGCTGGAGTATTCGAACCTCACCGGAGTTCTGGATCCCAAGATCTTGAACCGGCTGGACCAGCTCCGAGTCCTCAGCTTCAAAGGCAACTCCCTCTCCGGCCAAATCCCCGATCTCTCCGGCCTCCTCAACCTCAAATCTCTATTCCTAAACGACAACAACTTCTCCGGCGTTTTCCCCTCTTCCATTTCCGACCTCCACCGCCTCAAAGTCGTCGTCCTCGCCGGAAACAAAATCTCCGGCGAAATCCCAATGTCGCTGCTCAGGCTCCGCCGCCTCTACGTCCTGTACTTGCAGGACAACAGGTTCACCGGTCCGATTCCGCCGCTCAACCAGACCTCCCTCCGGTTCTTCAACGTGTCGAATAACCAGCTATCCGGAGAAATTCCGGTAACCCCACCCTTGATTCTGTTTAATGCGTCGTCGTTTTCAGGGAACGTCGGAGTCTGCGGGGTGCAAATTGACAAACCGTGCGGGGGCATTATCGGGTTTCCGCCGTCGATCAGTCCCACCAGTCAACCGGGTCCAAAGTCAAAGTCCAAGCGCGGGAAACTGATTAAGATAATCGCAGGGAGCTTGGGCGGGTTCATGGTGGTCGTAATCTGCTTAGTCGTGCTGTGGATGGTTTGCCGGAGGAGTCGCGGCGGTGGTGGGGAGGTAAGCAGGAGCAAAGGCGGGGTTGTTGGGGGTGCTGAGCTGACAACAGGGAGAGGAGGGGGAGGATCAGGGGAGGGGCCCGCAGGTCCGCCCAGTGGCAGTGATGGTAATAATGGTGGGAAACAAGGGGGTTTTTCGTGGGAAGGTGAGGGGCTGGGGAGTTTGGTGTTCTGCGGAGCAGGGGATGAGCAGATGAGTTACAGCCTGGAGGATCTGCTGAAGGCGTCGGCGGAGACGCTGGGGAGGGGCACGTTGGGAAGTACGTACAAGGCGGTGATGGAATCCGGGTTTATCGTGACGGTGAAGCGGCTGAAGGACGCGAGGTACCCGAGGATGGAGGAGTTTAGGAGACACGTGGACTTGCTAGGGAAGCTGAGGCACCCACACTTGGTCCCACTGAGGGCCTACTTCCAGGCTAAGGAGGAACGCCTGCTCGTATACGATTATTTCCCCAATGGCAGCCTCTTTTCACTTATTCACGGTATGTCGGCCCTTTCATCTACTCCCCTTAATTACCTGCTTATTTATTTATTTTTTTCGTTTAATAATCACTGTGGTTGTGTTTAGCTTGTACCGTTGTATAAAATTTCTACGTAGATTGTATTTAGCATGGAGTCTGATAGTGACCCAATTACAAGAAAAATTTAAGCACAGTTGTCTGACCACGTTATTTATAAAACACTTTTTATAAAATCATAGGATTGTCCAACTACAACGGGCCTATCCAATGTGAAGTCGGAAAAC